GTCCGCAGAGTACTGTGGAAAACCTGGCCTTTGATTTTCCTGCTATGGTTTTCACTAACATACCACTCCCCAAAGGTGATCAGGTGACCAAAGAGGCCACTTATATCCACTTAACCACGTTCATGTTTATGAAACAAGCCTTTAGAAGATGCACTCTGCCCACAACCAAGTGAATACAGCAAACAAAAAACTGACAAATTGAGATTCAACCAGTGATTTGTTATTATTTAGGTGTATGAAGAATGCCAAGAAAACATTCAACATATCACAGCAGCAGCCTGGACTTTCTCCATGAATTCATGGAGCCTCAATTTTGGATATCAGAAATACGGGTTCATTAATCCATGTTTGCAGTTTTCTATTCTCCAGTTTTGGCTCCAGTGCCCTGTGCCCACTGCAGGTGCAGATTTCTGCTCTTTGCTGATTGGAAATTATTTCTGTTATTGACAGCTCATTGCATAGTCCATGATGAGCAGCACTCATCATTCCAGATGTGCAGCTGATTGTGTGTTAATTTTTGATTGTGTCTCAGAGTCAGACGACTGTTACCAGGTGTTATCTCCTGACAGCTGATAGCACACTACTAACTTACATACGTTTTTGGAATGACATTCATTTTTCTGATAGATGCAGTTACAATACAAACTATCCAAAATAAACAAACAACAACAAGTCACAAGAACAATGTTTTTACCAATTCCAAGACGATTCATGTCCCTGTCTGCCTCCTTGGGACTGGAGGTGGAATGTTTGTACTTACAGACCCTTTCCAAAAAATGTGAATATCATATCCATTCAAAACATTAAACTTTCATAGATGATAGATTCAGGACCCACAACTTAAACAATTTCAAGTACTTAGTTGATTATTTGTACATAATTTGGGCTTAGAGCTCATGAAACCCACGAAAACAGGCAGACAGAAGATTCAAGAATCTGGCAGAGATCCAGAAAGAGTGGGATGAGGCAGGAGTCAAAGCTTCAAAACCACTTCTGAGTCTGAGCCAACGTCAGAAGCGACTCAACTGGGCCAAGGAGAAGATGGACTGAACTGTTAGCCAGTTGTCAAAGGTCCTCTTTTCCGATGAAAATAAAGAGTGCCTTTCATTCAGGAATCAAGGTCCAAGTATTTGGAGGAAGACAGGTGAGGAACAGAACCCAAGCTGCTTGAGGTCCAGTGTGAAATATCCACAGTCAGTTATGATTTGGTGCAATGTCCAGTGCAGGTGTTGGTAAACTCTGCTTTCTTAAATCCAAGGTCACCGCAACAGTCTACCAGAATGTTTTACAGGGCTTCATGATTCCTTCTGCTGAGGATCTGTATGGAGATGCAGATTTCCTCTTCTAGCAGTACCTGGGCCCTGTCCATACCGCCAGGAACGCCAAAACTTGGTTTGATGGCCATGCCATCACAGTGCTTGGCTGGCCAGCCAACTCACCAGACCTAAACTCCATTGAGAATATACGGGGTATCAAGAGGGAAATGAGGTCCACCAGACCCAAAAACAAAGAAGAGCTGACAGCAAGCATCAAGGAAATCTGGGCTTCCATAACTACCAGGCAATGCCA